ATTCGCAAAGAACTTACTTTTGCAAGCGAAAACGCATCAATGACTACCGTCGCGTCCTGGGAGAAGAAGTTGCGATCCGAAAAACTTCCGTAATGGAACGGGGCTTCCACAACTAACAAAAGTATATAAAGCACTAGCTCGATAAATAAGTAGCACGACCAGAATTCTCTAACTCATACAATAAATTCTGCGCTGTTACGAATACCTCCCTCGCGTTTCACGCTTGCCCGGAGTTCACTTTTGACTTATCTCTTAATTAATTAAAAGTTATAGTAGGTACATTTCTGCCGACTATCTGCAATCTATGCCATAGCGCCTCGCAGTACACACCAATGATTATCAGAAATATTTTAACATTTATCCAGATACTTAGAAAACGGAAGAAATACATGGTATAAACCGCATTATAATCTATTGTATTCTCATCCGTTTAAGATTATAGGAAGATACTATTGTTGTTTTGACTACTTTTACTTTTTCGAATATTTTCGTATAGAAATTTGTGCGTACAATCTGGATCTATTTGTAAATCTCAGCTTACACCGATGTAAGCATAATCTTTCAGATTCACAGTAATAATTCGTGTATTGTCTCTTTAGATTAAGATGTATATCAGAGGTATCTCGTGACGATATGCATTTGTCAATTGGCTCACGATTGCTCGACAAACATCAGTAAGATTAAACGTGGCGGTCATGTCCACTCACCACAAGAATCAGACGCAAATTATCGCGCGAATTATCATTGAAGCTCGAATCCACGCGTCAACAAATGGGCGTTAGTTACGTTCGCTAATATTGACGTACCGTTAATACTCCAAACCGTGATCTATTATTCCATTAAACAAGATTTCACTCGGGGGAGCGTTTAGAAGCGTGCACAATAATTTCTGGCTTGTTCAGTTGCGAGGCACTCTTGCCGTATAAAAGCCCACGAACTTTTCCACGGTGTGCGACCTCCAGTGAATACCTACTGACGCTACCAGGTTAGCTCTCGTAAAACTTTTTCTGAAGCTCGAGTTTAAATTGAAAGTGAGCTAGCTCTAAGCGCAAGTAAAATCGTCCTTCACGTCGGACGAATTTCCCGAGTGGGCGCAAAGATAATTTCAAAAATAAGCGTGTCAACGATCCGTGCCGACATTAAATAGGATTTCGGTTGCGAAAATCTAGGACTGGAGACGTTAAAGCCAGCCGGAATTCGAAACGTCGAAACTTTCGGCGCGCATAGCTCACCGGAACAGCAACATTCAGCTTTCGTGTTCTCCGGAGAATTTAATTGTGTGGAATAACAATTTATTCGTTTATCGTGCCGAGCGAAATCTATCGGAAAAAAGAGAAATAGCAGAATATTTTAAACTTTTATTCCAGAGAACAGAAAGCAAATTTCCGTTCGCTAAATGAAACTTGTCCGGCATTTATAATGCACGCAATGCGATTATCTGGTTTCATTGCAATTACGGCTTTTATTAAAAACTCGTATTGAGTAAAACGGGATTTTAATGTACATTAGCTTTTTTAGCAACAGCAAATTATAAAGTCTAAAAATTTTTTTAAATTGCGAATGTTATAAAATAGAATAAAATTTTATATATGATCACATATTTCTATCTTTTCCTATAATTAAATCAACATACTCTATTAGTTAGTAAAGAATTTCATGGTTTTATTAAACGCACAATCTGTTTGACAAAAAGGTACATGTTCATGCATTTCATGAATTTTTAATATTTATGGTTAAGATTTAATATTTATGTAATAATGTCCAATGTTAAATTAAATATATTAAAAATTAAGCGTATAGTATAATATTCAATTAAATGTACAATCTGCCTAGCTAACCGACACATTTTTGACGTTAATTAATAAATATTTAATAAATATGGGTTTCAAGATTATTAATATTTATGTTAATGTCATGAATTTACTTTATTACGACGTAAACTTGTTCCATCGCATTTCTTATCTAATTTAATATTAATTTCTTTATTTTGCTCTCTAGAATTTATGCCAAAATAATTTAAATATTGTGAATTCTTAACATGAATAAAATAATTGTTACATCGTCAAACATATAACATTCGTAAAATGCAGTAATTATTAAATAGCATAGTCAGATAAATGCATATTTGCAAGAATTGAGTTCTGTTATCAGTTCTATCTTATACAATATAACGCTCCTGTTCTAGATAGATGGACGAAAAAAATAAACAATGTTTTCCATTAACGCAGTCAGCAATTTGAAGTTTATTTAATCCATTGGATTTAATACAAATAATAATTGTGCTATCGGAGTTGCTGATTACCTACTTCAAAATCGAAATTTTGGCGAGTCTATTTAAAGTTTTTCGTAAAACTGATTTAAATAACATCTGATATTTATATTTTTAAACAAAAACCATGAAATTGCACGGGTAAATATTAAATATGAACATATATATTTTAGTTAGAATTAAAAATAGTACGAAAAAGATATATACAAATGTCGTTTAAAGGTTGTGTAATTTTTTTTTATATTTCTATTTTTGTATGAAATTTAATTTGTACTTTCGCGTACAAACCATGGAACATATAAATATTTTATTCGTACTCTGCTATATATTATTCGTTACGCTATCAACAGTACTAACCATGTCATGTGTTTGAGCATTAATTATAACTCGTTCAGATTACACCTAGGAAACTGCATGAGCAATATGTATCAATAAACATAATTCTTTTGCGTCCACTTCTTATCTCACCATGACTTCGCAACCATGAAGTTTCGTTTGGATAATCTCATGTATGTTTCTCTTTCCGTGTTGGTACTTGGTACAGACGAGACTTCAACAGTCCAATTAACTGAGGAATCAATCGGATTAACGGTCGTATGAAAGAAATACGTTTTCTTGGACTCCACAAATCTCTCGTGTATTTAATTAGCACGTGCAACTCGAGTAATAGTTGCGCGTTACGCAATTCTCGAACGGATAAGAGTGTTATGCGAGCTAACGAATGAACGAGCTTAACTCGTTCGTTTGTTATGAAATATAATGTAAAGTGTTAATTTTCTCGAAGGAACGATGTCTTACGCAAGCTGAACTCGTTAACATTTTGTCGTCCATTAAACTTACCTTCTTCTCTATTTCGAACATTTGAAAATGAAAAGTTTGCATCGAAAAGTTTAGTATAATCTAATAGTATAGTCCTTGGGTGTACGCATTCATATCGCAAATTGGAGAGAAAAATCACGGTATACATAATGTTCATTCATTATCAATTTGTTGTTAAATAATGATTTCAATTGTAAATTATCCCATATTATTAGATACAAAGCGTTTAGTATTTTTTACTTTAATTTAAGAGTGTCTTTATTTCTTTCCTATTCATAAATTTAAAAGTAGAGTTTTATTAATTTTTCTTTAATATATAAAATTTGAGTCTTTTTTACAAAAAAAAACCTTTGTTTTTCTCAAATATATTTTTGCAAAGAAAAATAATAGAATTCCATATTAAATATCCTTGAAAATGGTATTAAAACAAATTTTGTATAAAAATAAAGTGAAGAACAAAGTTTTTTATTTATTTTTTTTTATCTGTTTGTGTTTTCGAACATTAATTTATTACAGCTCTTTAATTTTCGAACATAATTGAGGAACATCAGCACTGTTCGAAAGTTTGAACATTGAAACGACTGTAATCTTGTTTGAAGTTCTAATGTCCACGTTGAAGAAAACTGGCGCGATGTCTATCGATCAGAATAATTTTGAATTACTCCGTGGACACGTCGCTGTCAGGAGTTTGCCGCGAAAATCGAGGTGTCAACGACATACTTTGCCGTTGCGAACTACGCGGAATTAGCGGCGCAGCGTCAGCAATTTTCCGTTCCGTACTTTTCTCACGGCGCGTGGTATGTTCCTCATTTTCGCTGCGTTCAGTGGCGTAAATTTATCGTTCGTGCAGCGCAGCACAACGCGACGTCGAGTTTCGCGCTAGCGAGCGCCGATGGCACCCCGCGTGGCTCCGAAATTGTTTTGCACTTTGAAAAACGTGCGATATCGCGTACGTCCAAGAGATCTGATGCGTTGCACCGAATTGCAAGCCGCTGCGTTGCACGTGCCAGAGCAAACACACCATGCGAAGCCCGTGTATTTTTTGTGCAACGCAACTTTCAATGAGTTAGTGGCAAATATATCCATGTATCGTAGGTACGCGTTGTAGCAATCTGTCCGCATATTTTGGACGAAATATAGCATCGGTATTTTAAATTTAGCACTTTATTCGCATCTGTTGTTTATTGTTAGATTAATCAATAATTTGCATTATTTCTTGCAAACTTTAAATCGTAAGTCGCTCAATATCAAATATTGTTTTTTTCTCAAATTTCAATTTGTATATATTTATCGATTTTATAATATCAAATGAATATATTGAAATTATCAGACATAATTTTAAAAGTTGAAGTAAATACTGAAAAATAAGTGTTTGACTTTAAGATATTAAAATATTTTGTCCTAGAGTCTTAAGAATAAAGTATTTTAATATCTTAAAACTAAACACTTCTTTTTCGAGTGAGGAGAAGAGGGAAATAAAAAGAAAGATAGAAAGAAATTGACTCATGTTACGAATTATATCATTATATATTACTGATTATTATAAATGGAAGTAATGGCTTCAGCAGAAAGCTTTTTCATTGTAAAAAATACAAAATAGGCTTTATGACAAAAATTCGCTAAATTCAACGATGTCAATGCTACGCCGAGCAAAATTTATTCTCAAGTTGGCCTACGAGTACACGTTTCCATATGCACATCAGTAGAAACATGAAAATCTTATTTTCTCTGTTGAGTTTCTCTGTGTTATTCACGTTGGTAGCCGACTTTTAGGTGCATGATAAATGAAGTTTTCTCCGTGCGAACAAAGTTTCTCATTCCAAATACATTGTACGCGTATTTGTGTGGTAAAGATAGGTATATAGAGTCGTTAGTTGAAGACTGCAATATTAATCGGATGTTTCTCTTACAGGAGGACTTGGAACCTCGCGAGGATGCGGGACCGGCTCTCGTGGTACATGGTCTTCTTGATTCTGCCGACAATCCTTTTGGCCAGGTCGCTCGATAAAGGTGAGCAAAGAATAAGAATCTTTTTTCTTCTTGAAATAAGGATTAATATTCCGCAGATGATCCTCTTATTTTGAACATATATAAAATAATTGAAATTTATGCGCAGAAAGAATGGTTTTGCTAAAATACCTAAACATTTAGCTAGACTTGAAAAATAATTTTATTTGTAACATAAAAATAATTGTAGGACGCTTAAACTGATTGCAAGAACGTTAAAATTTTTTTGCAGCATTGTTACCAACGTTTAATTCTACATAATTATTTTGATAGTCCAACAAAATTATTTTTAAATCTGGCTTTCATAAATATTTCAGCAAGATCGTTTTTTATTTCATTTTTTGTGGTAAAAACACGAACATTTGCTTATTTATTTATTACGCCTATATTGTTTACAAGAGCTAGAAAGCAAATTACATTGATTTACCATAACGCGTCCAATATATTTTTCATTTAATCATTCAAAATTGTACGAAGATAACAGTCGCATAAAATATTTTCCATATCATTAAGTTGCGTTGAAATGAGGTTTGAACATAAAATATATAATTATATTAAGTAAAATAGAATTGCAAGGTCGTTTTATCGTTGCTGTCGTAGACGTCATTATAATATCTTTGTTATGCAGGGAAGATGAAAAATACCAGCAATAATGAACACGTACTCGTAAATTAAATGAGATATGATATATATTTCATCACGTGAACGGCATGATGAAACGTGAAGACATAGAGCTTGATAAATTCCTAGGGGCGTTGTATTGTTGAAAAGTGCTAGGGGATGGCCCTTGCTGTGTATTGAACGATGGGGCATTATAATAGCTCGACTGCGGTTCATAAAGGGAACCTTTTAAATTTTGTGGAATTATAGAATGCCGCTTATATATCGGGTGAAGTGAATAAAGCTTTCACTTTCAATTGACGCGGAAGTCCACGAGAATGCCTTTTCAACGTCCATGATGGAGACATCAATAATACTGCCTTACCGAATATAGCGTAATTACAGTAATTTATAAGAAATTTTTATATTTATTTTCGAATGCTTTTTATGCTTTTATATATCGAGGAAAATTGAAAAAAGTCAGTAAGAAGATATTTCCTCGCGCGAGCGCAGTGCTCTTAACGTAAAAGCTCCTTAACGTTAATCGCAGGTGAAATTTGAATGAGGCGCTCGAAAAGTTAACGCTTGAATTTACATTTCGCGGTACAAGTCGCATTAGGGCGTATTACGTTCATAAAGTATTAATCGCATCTAAGAGAAGCAATATCGCGAGCAATCTTCTAATAATTACTTCCTTGCCAATTATGCCGAGGTAGAGCGCAAATGTATATTATTTTATATCGCGTTCCGATGCATTACTGCTTAAGATCGAAACATCAATCTATTTTTTTCAATCTTTGATATCAAACGTTTAACGTGCATATAATTATTTTAATTTAACGTTCATTTACCGACATTACAGCGCACATAAATGCATTTTTATCCACGTTACAATTAAAGCAAATTAAAATTCACGTTGTTAAAAAAGAAAGTAGAACAAAAAAGAAACAATGAGGTTAATTGTTCACATATCAAAAGATGTAAAAAATTCGATTAATCATTCTTTTCGGTAAAAACTTGTGATAAATGAGATTAATTATTTACATATCAGAGATGTAAAAAAATTTATTAATCGTTATATTTGGTAAAAACTTATTGCATTTCTTGATTCTCTAACAACTCCTATTAGTTTAAGCATAAGCGTTAATATAAATATTTTTTTATATTTTGATTATATTCAGACTGCAAACTTACTTGCAAAATTATATATCTAAATGCAATTTCCGAGAACTACATCGTGCTATAAATATATAAAACTAAAAGGCGTACAATAAATATTTTTCTACAAAGACATTTGGTTTACTTTTGAAAATACACTAACAATAAGACGCACTGAATAAATGTGGTGCTAGAGAATTTTTTACGCATGATGAATGTGCCGACACTCAAAAGAAGGCCTGTAGAAAATAAGAGAGTCCACGTAAAGATGTGCCGGCATGCAAGTCCCGGATAATCCTGGAAAACACTTGTAGATAGAAGGCGAAATAGAAAACCCGCAGCTAAAAATTTTATTCTCTCTCGTTTACTTCTCTAGGAAAAATAACTTGCCGTGCGGTGGTAGGCGGATATATATTCGTCTTGAGAGAAATCCTTTTTAGCGTGCGAAACCGTCTTGCTGGTTTACCCGGTTGCGCATATGCCCGTGTGCACATCAAACATCGAATTTCCAAGCGAAATGGAGAAGCAAAAATACGAAAATGAAAATGTCATGCACAAAAAATTGAAGCCAAAATAAATCACAAGCCAACGCTTGCTTGAAATGTTAAATATCCATAACTCAACGTACATTAAATTTTTACAGAAACTAGGACACACTTTGGAGAAACTAACACACAAAATTATATTGAATCAATGGTAGTTTTGTTAATTTTTTAAAAATAAATCTAAAAATAATTTTGTTGGAATATCGAAATACTTATGCTCAAGTTGATTACTGGAATATCAAAACTTTTTGCAGTATTATTCATCTTGCTTGAGTTACCCACAATTATTTTGATAGTACGATAAAATCACGTATAACAATATTATCATATATGAAAAGAATAATTTGACTGAAATACATTGTTAGAAATGTTTGTGAATTTACTCTTACAATAAAAATGTGCAGTAAATTTACAAATCATGTAACATTTTGCTGTGCTTCACAATATTTGCAAATTTACAATAGAAATTTGCTGTGAATTTACAAAACTGGCGCGCCACGCTTGCGCATTAAAGTTTTACGTATATTTCACCACAAAATGTTTGCAATTTCACAACGTAGCTGTTCAAATTTATAGTTCATTATTGTTGGATAAAAATTTCCAACACTTAAAAATTTACAACAAAAGTTTCTTATACAGTGTACCTAAAAATTCAGCTAAAAGCAGATTTGAAAATAACTTTATTGAACCATCAAAATAATTGTGTAGATAACTCAAGCAAAATGAGTAATACTGTAAAAAGTTCTGATATTCTAGCAACCAACTTGAGTATCCCACACAATTATTTCAATAGTCTAATAAAATTATTTTCAGATCTGTAACTTTTTAGCTACTTCAATAAACTGTAGTACTACTGTACTTTCCATATGCATACATCCTCAAACGGCACTTGGAATTTTGTTAGTCGATGAAACTTTTTACAGACAAAAAATGCGGGACAAAGGAGAGAAAACACAGATATGCACGCGTATCGAAGCGTTTAACAGACACCTGTTATACGTAAACGTGACGAAAGTGCTTCTAATTAAAATTCTCGGCATTACTCGGCGAGTTTTCAAGTGCAACAAGAATCGCTCGTTTATTCCGAACTCACGCGTGCATGCTTGTACACACGTACGACCGTCGTGCGAGTCATTAGCGGTGAGAGAAAGAGGAAATCTAGAAGCGTACGAGAAAGCTCGACAGTGAAAATATGGAAATATGTGAAAGATGCGATACGTGTGCAAAAATAGCGTGATGCATTTTCCAGTCTACCGCTCGTTACGGTGACTGAAGTGAGATTTTCATCAATGTGCCGCGTTGAAGCTATGTCAGAAAAAGAAAAGTGGATGCAGACTCGCTTAATCAGCCGCTAGTGATGAGGGAAAGAAACACCGCCGGAATATGATAAAAAAAACATGTGCAACAGTAATATAGAATAAATATGCTCAAATGTGTAAAAAAAAAACGCTGTCTTTCGGTTGGTTGACGAATGATAAAAACAAAACAAGAGGAAACACGAAAGATTCGTAAAAATGATGAAGGGACATTTTCATGAAGAAAAGAAAATATACGTGGCTTTGAATATTTATATTAGATATAGTGATAGCGCCATGCCACATAGCCATAAAGACGACAGAAATAAATTTAGAAGGTACACCATTTCTGGTTCTTCTATCTCTTTCTTTATTCAGACGCTTTGTGTACAAAAATTTTTATTAATGTATGTTGTCATGGTATGCTCACAGACGGGGAAAAGAGAAAAGAGAAGATAAAAATGTATGGTATTTTTTAAAGATGTTTTAGAATGTCGTAGTAGTTATCCATTTATAAATATTTTTTTTGCAAAGAAGAAAAATAGAAAGTAGGAAGAATGAAGGAAAACTAATCTCATAATCGTAGATAACAAATTATTAATCATTGCGTATTTTGTGCCAAATTATTGTCCGTGCAGGCAAAAATGCATCAAGTTCATGAATGTATGAGGAAGGACAGAACGTGCTTTTAAACGCAACACGAAAACATTGTGTTGTTCAAGTAACACATGAATGCAGATAATATCGTTGTACTACTAGACCAGAGTTGTTAGTCAGAGAGAACCGGGAAAACTGGGAAAAATTATGGAATTAAGAAATTTATTAATCTAAGATAAAATTAAATTACTTGTGTAATACTAAATTCTAAATTTAAATTTCTTTCTTAAAAATATTAAACAAAATGTTTGTAATTATTTAAGGAAGCATTGTAAATATTTTTTATGATTTTTTAATTTTGTAGTGAATGATCAGAAAGCCATTAACAGATAAAATTAAAAAGAAAAATTATATCTTCATTTTTTACATAATCGAGATACATGTTAATGACATTTCATAAATTACTCGCAGTAATAATATTATAAAAAATTATACAAAATATTTACAGCTTTTAGTAATCGTGCATTTTTTAAACGCGGAAGGATTTATTACTAGAGATGTTTTCAAAATTATGTAGTTTTAAGATAAAAATTTCTAATTAAGTTGATAATTAGAATATAGTGTTTTGAGAAGGTTAAATCTTAATAAGCAATTAATGTATACACACAAAAGAAAGATTTAATAAAATAAATTAAAGATGAAGAAACTCAAAAAATTATATCTGACAAGAATTCAAAAAGTCGCAGATATATAGACGAAAAGATAAATATTCTTCTTTCAAAAATACAAGATTAAAGTTTTATGTTAA